TTTCCTAGAGTGAAAGAGAGGACAGCAGAAAAAAAAGAATCTGCTATATGAAGAATTTTCTGTTTCTTGTCACCAAAACAAAAAATAACATGCCTTCCCCACAGGAGCCAGCCCTGCCTCCTCCTCAGCCTCCCTGCACACCACTCCACCAGTCCTAACCAGCCTTCTGTCAGCTCTTTGCCCACTTTTGCCCATCCATCCCTGCTTCCCTGCAGCTCCCTGCATCCTTCTTCAGCATTTGAAAACTACCTCAACTTTCAAATAAATAAATAGATAAATAAAGTGACAGAAATGGCAGTGAAGAATCATGTTCTAGAAAGCAGACCTGGCCCACAGGGCAGAGCAAGGGGCGTGGAGGCCTGTGCTGGGGATGATGGTGCTGAGGGGATAAGGAGGTGATGGCAGCTTTGGGTTTTCCCATCAGGGTACAGCTGCTCTGCTTGAATGAGGGGCTCCAGGTCCTGACAGGACCCACCCATAGGTGGGCTGGATCCAAGAGGAGGGCCTGGCATGCAGCAAATCCACCCTTTCCAGCTCTCACCCTGCCATGGGAATGTCTGTGCTGATTTAAACTCGCTCTGGCTTGGTATTCATCTACATAATGCCAAGGCTCCTCCCTTGCAGAGGCACTGGGAGGTTTAATTCAATCTAAGGATAATACTGGGACACGCCAGGACAAGAGACACACCAAAGGGGACAGCAACCTCCACCTGTATTTCCCTTCTTCACTTCTAAGCTGTAGAGGAGACTCCCAAGCCCCAGTTCTCTCAGCGAGTCCTCGCTCACATCTCTTCAGCAGGTTGAGATGTTCTCATGAGGATGCCTTAAAAATATCCCAAGGCTCAAGCTACTTCTTTAGCTGAGAAGTCTGACCAATGTCTAATCATTTTACCTTGACTTGCTGGTCATAAGCCACTGTATTCAAACCAAAAGCCACAGCAGTCAAGGCAGGAAATAGCTGTGTATGCAAAACCTGGCACCACCACAGCAAAGAGCAGCAGCAAGGAGAGAAGCTCCTGGCTCCAGCATTTGCATGAGCAACGTGGGTCCTGGGACAAAGCAAACACCTCTGCACACCTCCTCTGCAGCAGGCAGGCAGGGCTGGCTCCCAGCCTGGCTTCCCACCACGGGGGGTGGTTGATTTTGGGCAAGGCAGCAGCCATGGCCCAGTGATGCCTGAAGCATGGTTGGCTCCATGGGGCCACCACCGAGCGGGCTGTGGCTCCACGGGCACATGGGCACGAGGTATGGACTGCAGGAGCTCAGAGCCTGCTCCAGCCCTGGGATTTTGCTGTGTTCCCACGTGCACGTGCTGCTTTTATTCCTATTCACAGGAATTCTGTGTGACCTGGGGGATGGAGGTGGCCATTGTGGACTGGATTGGAGACTCGATGCAGGCATCCGAAAAACCAAAGGGCTGGAATTTGAGTGGGCATGGAAGAAAGCTTGGACAAGAGGGTAAGGCAGGATTTAATTCTGACCTAAAACTGCAATGCAGTTCACCCCCTGATCTACTTCCTTTGCTGCTGGGACCTCTGAAGATCTATCACAGCTCCAAAGGTTTCCACTTCAAACTAACCAGTTTCAATTCACTATCAGCTCAAAAATTCAGGGTTCACAGGATTTTTTATTTTCATGGTAAGGGGGCAAACAAATCTTAATCTCTCTACTCTACATTTACAGCCCACTAAGCCCCCTTCTTATCTTCTCTGGCTCCATCCTGATTTATTGTCACAATGCTGCATTTGTAAAACAGTACCATAAAGTAAGAAAGAGAACATTTCCCAAGGACTACTCCCAAATAAATTATTTCAGACGTAGAGAAGCTGCTTAATAAATGCCACTATTCTTGTTTCTTTAGGTATTTTGGAAAGTGATTTATAAGTGCAATATCACCTCTCAAAAATGAGGCAATCAACACAGGGTAAAATTATCATGTTATGAAAATAGGGGTCAGGCAAAGGGGCTGTGCTTTAAATTAAACCAGGGAAAAATATTTCATCTGAAATTGACTCTTTTTGTCTCAGAAATGAATGTTTTAATCACCTAAGAACCTAAAAGCTAACACAGAGCCCTAAGTAATAGAAATTCCATAGAAATAGGCCTGTATTCAATACTGATGGGCAGAAGATGATATTTTTCTTAACCACATTAACAATGGAAGTCGGAGATGCATCAAGACTTTAGAAAGCCCTGGGATTTTCTTAGACTAAGAGATAATATCCCATTTAAATATTTAAATATCACCACCTTTCAGACTGTTATCTATTCAAGCAATCAACACCAAATGTTCTCCAGCTAGCAGGCTGCTGGACTCACAGGCATGCTATTTAAGCAAAATTAACTCTGATATTGATGCTGTCCAATGGCACCCAGGAAAATCAATGATCTCAGAGAGAAACAGCACAGAAAAGTAAACACAGGACTGTATCTGCTAAAGAGGAAAATATTATTAAACTGCAACAGTGTTAATTCAATACCACTGTCAAAATCAAGTCACAACCTTTCCTCAGTGCTGCTGCTGAAGCGTCGTAAGGTCTAATTAGCTCTGAAGTTTCTTCCCAGAGCTGCACTCTACTTCATTAACCCTCCCCTGTTTATTCCTACAGAAGAGTCATCTGAAACTTTGCAAGGTATCTCCTTGCCACGGCGTGAGCCAAGAGGCAATGTGAGTGTGCAAGGGCCAGGAGGGGTCTTGTTCCCCTGGAAATCAACAGGACAGCTTTCCCTTCATGGAGCATCCACGCTTCTCCTGCTTGATGCTGCTGGGGCCACCCAGGCAGCAGGACACAGGGGTGATGGGGAGGGAGCTTTTCCCAGCAGGAGAAAGGATGCAGGGTGTAGGGACTATGAACTAGTGGTTTTGGTTGGTCACCTTCACACGGGGGATGGATGAAGTGCTGGGGTCTAAAGCCCCAGCCTTGAATCAGAGTTGACATGTGGGTGATGTCCACAACCAGGCAGCAAACATCTTCCTCTTGGTTTTCTCTCAAAGCTTGGCCAACCTTGGGTGAAAACCAATGAGATCAGCACCAAGTGCCCCTCCCTTGGCATCACCATCAGGTGTCCTGCCTCTAGAGTTAGCAGCATAAAGAGTGGCTCTGCCCCCATGGTATGGAGGAGTTATCTGTGTGGGGGATGCACTATGAAGGATTTTCAGTCACTGGGAGGGCTCCCTGAATGTCCACTGCAGGCTGAGCTCTGGTGATGGTGGGACACCACCAGAAGCAGAGGGAGGATTATGTGTGTAATAATGGTGCTGGCTTTTGGCAACTGCTGTATGACTGGAATTGGACTGGTCACCTAGCTCCTGAGCTGGTTTGCTCCTGTCCTTGCTTTGTCCTATACCATGAGTGAATATATCTCAATGTTTTTGTTTCTCCAGTGGTTGGCCACCTCACATCCTCCATGTATACTTTAAAACTGGAGGGAAAGATCTGGCCCTTGAGTTGCTTATTGATGAGAGTGTCCTTCCTATTAGGGCAGGCAGTCAGCAGAGGAATGGAGCACAAGCCCTTTGCTGTGTTCAGTGAGGATGTTACACACATGGAGGAAAATCACCCACTAGCTGCTCTGCAGTGGTTAACAAGGCTCAGGAAGACAACAAACTGGAAGCATAAAATTGCCACCATGAGCACGGCCATGCAGGTGACTACAGCATCTGCCACGCACCCCAGCCTCAGAGGGCTGTATCACCAGCTCTTCCCAACCCCCACTGCAAACAGCTCATCATTAACATTGTTCTGTACTCAAATGGCAACTCAAAATACACAGAGGCTTGAGATAGTAAGAGGAGCAAGTCACTGACCGTGGGTAGCTGGCTGGAGAGGAGATGCCCATCCTGACTCAACATGTTGGAGACCATGATGGCTGGCAGGTCCATGTTCTGGTAGGGGTACGCTGGGATCAGGCTGTTTGGAGGGAGGCTGTGGCACAGGGAGTGATATCCAGTTTCGTGGTCCACCAAGTGCAGGAGGGAAGGGTCAGGGAGGTTGGGAGGAGTTATGGGAGGGATCTCATAGTCTTCGTTATTCTCACTCTGACTGTTATACGTCTAAAACATGAAAAAGACATTTTGCAAAGGATCACTGCCTTGTTGCTTTAGCAAAGTGACTCTGTGTCAGAAATACAAAAGCACATTCCAGTGAAAAGAGGAATTTATATTTGTTTTAATAACAAGACACCTCTAGTCCCAGCCACCAGCAGGCTGTGACTAAGGAGCCAGGCAGTGAGTGTGGCAGTGCTGCACTGTGTGCCACCACAGGTCCTCACACACCTCAGACCCACCCAGGGCATCCCCCCTGCTCCCCTCTCCCACCCTGCACCCCTCTAGCACACCTCCCAGGACCTCAGCAGACTCCTCCAGCCCAGAGTGCAGCCAGGTGAGCTGTGCTCACAGGGCCCCCAGCCCTTTCCAAACCAGCTGCTGCATTTTTAACTCCAAGTCCTTCTCTGAGCACCCAGCTCAGCCCTTACAGCACCTACACTTGGTATTTTCAAGTGGTTTTTTGAGAATTAGCTCTGTGGAAATAAGCAGAATTAGCTCTGTGGAAATAAGCAGCACTTTGCAACAAAATTCTCGTGGATTCCTCAAACTCCAGCACAGAAGCTACAACCAGGGAGGGATTTGGAAACAGCCTTCACTTGTTTTTTAAGAAAGGCAGTGTTTGCATCCATCCCATTGGCTGCAGGGACTGAGGAGGGGATGAGCAGGCAGCAGATCAATGCCTGCCTAGGAGGCTGGTGCCACTGGCAGAACTTTGGGTTCTTTAATCACAGGCTGCTTCCCAAGGCACCAGGACTGCTGATAAGAGGTGAGGTGGAACTGCCCCACAGGGGAAAGGATACCTGGTTCATAATGTAAGTGTGAATCTATCCAAAATCATTAATTATCAATGCAGAACATAACGAGTCTCTGGCAGAGGAGGCTTACACTAAACTTCTACTGTTTCACATATTATTATAGCATATGAAATTCTGATTAGCCATAGTATTATACACATGGATTTTAAGCAAAATTTCCCAGATCACTTAGTTTCATGGTTGGATTTTGACTTAATACTCGATTTGAGAGCAGAACCCCCAGAAGTGTGCAAAACCAGCCAAGCACTGTAGGCTTTGTTCATCCACTGCCCCAGAGCCCCCACTCGGATTCATGCTCTTCATCACCCCAGGCTGCAGGGGGGAAACCCTTAAAAAGCTAAAATACAGCTCAGATTTCACCAGAATACAGAAGTCAGTGGGAGAGGAGCAGGAGGGAAGGAAGTGTGTGTGGCTAGGTGGAAGGGCTCCAGTGGGAGCTCTCCAGCTCTGCCTGTGAGACGTGGCGTGTCAGAGCAGGGGGTCAACTCCTGCCCCCCTCCAAAACTGGGGCTGGAAGTGGCTCAACCTCTGCTCAGCTGAACCACCACCTCTCCCCTCCCATTGCAAAAAGAGGGAGAAAAGAGCAGGCACTGCACAGCCCACCCAACCCTTCACATCCACTGGCTGGGGGAAATAGGAGTCTGCAGGAATCACAAGGCAGAGCCCAGGCTGAGGCTGCTCTGTACCAACAGTTCCTGGGAGGGGGAAATTCAAGCCCTGTTATTTCTCCAGCCAGGTTCTGCCTAGCTGTGGTATCACAGGGGGAAGGCAGGGGGCTGAGAGGACGTGCACCACAGCAGACAGCCAGACACCATTTAATACATCTAGTAGTTCAGTTTCTGGCTGGGCTCCACTCTTCGAGGTGCTTCAATTATTTCCCAGTTGTTTAAGAGGATTTCACTGCACGCTCTCAGGGAAGGGTTTTAAACAAATCATGGCACAGCAAACTTGTTCCTCCAGCTGGTTTAGTTTGGTATCAGGTCTAGAAGCAAGTGGCTTGGCTGTACTTAACGAAATTATGTAAAAACCCACACCAAATTTCCTAAAGCCCTCTTCAAAACGACAAGTCCCTTCTGCTGCTGCAAAGCAGCTCAGCAAAGGGTTTTGAGGTGGTTTTGTGAGGAGGGTGAGAGCTCTGCTGCCCTGCTCAGCCCCTGCACGTTTCTGCCTCTGTTCTATTACACCCAGGGGAAAAAAAGAAACCCAAAGACGTGTTGAAATCACAAAGCTTTCCAAACAGCTACAGTATTGTGCAGACAAATCAAAATTACAATCAAAGCTGTACACAAGCAAAATCAGATTAGACAATATCCAATCAGCATCATCAGCCTTGGCACTCACCAGCTTTTACACCCTAGCACTACAATTTTCCAAAGCAAGGGGGTGTTTATTCTATGTGTGTTTTAAATAGACCTCTAGAAAGATAACGAAGGGAGATCAGACAGACAGACACTGGAAGGGCAGGATGGGGGGTGATTTACTGTCACACACGGTACCTACTGACACATCCCAGGTGACATCTCTGTCCCCCTGAGGGATGGTCTCACACCACGTGCACAAAAGCCATCGTCTCAATCCCTTTGCCAGTAACACACCACACTCCTTTTACCACCACGTGGGCTACGTTGCAGAGTATATTTTCTATTCTTATGGTAATTTGAATAAACAGCCAATTATACATTGTAAGGATGCATTACAAATTAGGTTAGTGAGCTGCTCTGAACTCATTCATCCCACCAGGACTCCGAAGACGAGCACACAGAAGCTTGCTCTGCTGAAAGGCTGCCCACTAGGGTACACAAAAAAAGATACAGGATTTTCCACTCTCAAGCAGATGACAGTTGTTGTGATTGCACATTATTCCTCTGCATCCTGCAACACTGAAATCAGCTGAAACAGGCAGCCTCTTCTTGCAAACCCTGCACACCCTCTGCCATCAGACAAACCCCCAGTCAGCATTGCTGCTGCTTCACCTCCTGCTCCTCTGCTGCACCTCCTCTGGGACTGCAAACAAAGCCAAGCCCTGGTGAGCTCCTACCAACCACCCAGTGACAAACCCACCCTGCCCAACACCAGGGGCCTGAGCCCAGGGGAGTGATCCCAGCAACCACAGCAAAGAGGAGGCTGGTCTGGATCCACCCACCCTCCCTGCACCGTGGCCAGGCAGCTCCACACGTCCAGCTGATCTGAGACTGAGGGATTTCCAGACCTGTCAGTGCAGGGCAGCTCCTGAGGGACCTGCTGGGATCCAGCCAAAGCCCTAACTACAGCCACGTTTGAAAAGCCACTGCAAATTCACTGCGTGGCTGAGCCAGGAGGGAGCTGCAAACGTTGAGCGTGTCTGCTAATTAAACCTTCATGTTTCTCCTGCCTTCCCCCTCTTGGAAGGGGAGGAAAGCTCTGCCCTTTACAAACCACTCCACAGCCAGCCAGCAACATCTCTCCACCACACGTTGGTGTTAATCACAGAGAACATGACTTGACCCAAGACCTGGGAAACAGCTCTCCTTGGCAGCATGGCAAGTGGCCAGTGACCCCAATTCCCCCCTGACTCATGTGTGATTATCCATGAGGATCCAGCAGCCAAGCATCAATTCAGACAAATACTACTCATAAGGAGAAGGATAAAGATTTGCAGAATCATTGCAGGTAAATATTTGCTCTGTCAAATATCATTCAACAGCAAATATGAGCCTAAGAGAGAACATTTATTCTTGGTAACGAACCAGGAAATGCTCAGGCTGGTGTGATCCATCCCACCCTAATCATCCAGGGGACACAAAACACCATGGACGTTGTACCATCCTTCATCTGCTAACTAGGTTTTCCCTGGAAGAGCTTATTGCTGTAGGAATGTGACCCTCTAGACACTTCAGACATTAGATGAGTCCTAGCAGACCAATACCAACCTGGCAAGTCTGCAAAGTGGACAACCATGGCTATCTAAGAGGCTGAGAGGAAGGACCAAGGGCTCCACCTTGAGCTCCTGGTGGGCATGAGAAGACACAGAGGTTATGGGGTGCCCACACCATCACATGAGCTGCTGCTGGAGGCCTTCCCTCACCTCCCATCTAAATCCAGCTGGACACAGGGATGGCAGCAGTGCCTGTGCCCCAGGGCTGTGTCCCCAGGGAGAGAGCTCCTCTCCCACCAGCACCACCAGCTCTACCAGCACAGCTTGGGGAAGGGGTTCCAAAAAAACAGCTGTTGGCTTGTGAGCTATCTCAGTTGTACCAAAGGTGGATGATGCACCACGTCAGAAGCCAGAAAAGCACATTGCTTTGTCACAGAGGGACCTTCCCTGTTTCTCTTACACACATACAACAGGATTCACCACGTGCCAGTGTTGACACAAGCTGCAGGGCATGCCAGGCTGAGACAAGGCCTTGGGCCATATTGTTTTGCCAAATGGATACCCTGTCAGCAAAGACAAGGTTATCAACAGGAAGATCAGTATGGATTTATTATCTGGCTCCTGGAGATGGAAGAACAACATAACCCAGCCAGTCACAGGTACAGCAGAGGAAATCATACACTCAAACAGCATGGAGGACACCAACAATATAGTTTGACTAATAAGGGGTGGTACAAACAAAGCCACAACCCCACCCACCACAGGTGATACAACTGAGAAGAAGAAGAAAGGAAGGAACCCAGCACCCCCCACAAAACCATCCTGGGGGAAACAGCAGATGAGATCATATTCAGATATTATTACCTCAATCATTCAGAGAGTCAGAGGGTCCTTCCTAAGGAACACTCTGCCTGGTACACCCACCAGCAGACAAACTCTCCCCACACCCCTCCCAGCAGGGCCTGCTTAAATCTTGTTCTCTTCCCAAGCAGGACACCTGCTGCTGCTCACCCCATTGGCTTTCATCCACCATTGGCCTGGGTGAAAGCCAACAGAAATGTTTTGGTGCTCACCTGGCCTTTCCCTCAACAGCTGATGGCTTCTCCTCACACAACCAGCCTCAGCTGCCTCTGCAGAGAAGGGAATCACCCACCTACCAAACCCCAACCCTGAGCACCTCATTTATAAAGAGGAAAAGAGTCCAAACACAATGAAAAAGGGAAAATCAAAGCTTAGAGAAGGTGAGCTACCTTGCATTTCCTCAAAAGACGACAAACTGCTCTCCCACAACACGCATTACTTGGCACAGGCAGGATCATATTTGCAGGAAGGGGATT